TATCTATTCCATTTCTACTGAGCTTTTCCATCAAGAATTAGCACTGAAACTTTCCTTCAGTACTCTGATGAAGGATCATTATAGGTAGAAGGACAGCTGAAACACAACCCTATTCATAGTTCTTGAAAGTCTGGAAAACTTTCAGTGCCATTGGTCATAGAGTCTTCCCGAACTGGGATGGAAAATGGGCACATTGTGGGTTCCCCAGTTATTCCATTTCTCCCAAGAAAATTAAGAGAGGCACTTCCTCATGCCAACTCCATATGACTTCAAAAACTGTTATTTCTTTAAATTATTTTTTAATCTGCCTTTCTCCTTAACAAGTGCCCAACATTAAAAACAGTAACTATACAAATACTAAAAGAATCAAATAAATGTCATTCTAAAAAAGATAAACAAAAGCAATACCAAAAACACAATCAATACCAAAAACACACTCAAAGCAGTGAGGAACAGCAGTCCATTAAAAACCCCACACAGGCAGCCAGTCACTAAGGGAAAGCTTGCCCTTAGTGGCAGGAGGACAGCAAAGATGGGGCCAGTCTGGCCTCCCGTGGGAGAGAGTTCCAAAGTCTGGGGAGCAGCAACAGAAAAGGCCCTCTTCTGTGTCCCCACAAAACACACCTGGGAGAGGGATGGGACTGACACAAGGTCATTTCCCCTTGATCTTAACACCCAATCACGCTCATAAAGGGAGACACAATTGTTCAAATAGTTAGGTCCCATCCCAGCCAAGACTTTATAGGTTAGAACAATGTGGCTCCAATGACAGCTCCTGCTTGTAACATGGAGTAGAGCCCATTGGAAGGCCTCATTCAATGGCAGTGGAGAAGACGTTGTTCTCTATAGTGTCACCCAGCAGAACTGTTTTGAGTGGTCAAGGGCCTGGTCTGCAGGAAGAGAATGCAGACCATAATGTAGCATGCTGTTAAGAATCTGCACAGCACTTTGCAGGCAACATCACTTGGATGCGCTCTGACTTGGGTGCTGTAGTGAATATCGGTCCTGTGGATGTAACTATGACTCTGGCTGGTCCTGCGTTCATTGACAGCTTTCCGTTTTTACGGCCCGATGATGTGGCCTGGACCCTTGCCCTTCCTGGCTTATCCGTAAAAGCTGCCAGAGAGAGAGAGAGAGAGAGACTGACCAAGTGGGTCTGAGTGATGGTGACCGTCTCCTTGCAGCGGAGGAGGAACCCAGCTTGCTCCAAAGAGGCAGCAGTAAGACCCTTCTTGAACACCCCCTCCTTGGACCCCACAGGACTGGATAACTATCACGGGCTGGTCTCTAATATCCCCATTCTTTGGGCAAGGTGCCAGAGCAGGGTGTGTGTGACTTTTCACCTCCAGAGTTTCCTGGATGAGACGGGTTATCTTGATCCATTTCCATCTGGCTTCAAGTCTGCAGATGGGATGGAGGCTGCTTTGGTCAACTTGGTGGATCGTCTGTGCCAGGGAGTGTGTCCCTGTTGGTTCTGCTGGACCTCTCAGCGGCTTTCCATACCATCAACCATGGTATCCTTCTGGGCTGGGACTTGGCGGGGCTGTTTTATAGTGGCTCTGATCCTTCCTGGAGCGGAGAACCCAGAGGGTGGTGCTGAGGGACTCCTGTTCAACACCCTGCCCGTTGGCCTGTTCTGTCCCTGTGCTGTTTACCCCATACATGAAACTAATGGGAGAGTTCGTCTGGAGTTCTCTGTCACCAGTACACAGATGACAGCCCACTCTCTCTCTCATTTTCATCTAAATCCAAGGAAGCTGTTTTGGTTCTAGATCACGGTCTGGCGACAGTAATGGACTGGATGAGGGTGAACTGAAACTTAATGCAGAGAAGACCAAGATGCTCCTGGTCAGCCAAAAAGCAAATCAAGGAATAGGGCTGCAGCCTGCGCTGGTTGGGTTATACTCCCTCTGAAAACAGAAGTGGCATGCCCAGAGACCTCTGGGTAGAGTGGGCGGCATATAAATTAAAATAAACAAACTTGGGGGTACCCCTGGATTAATCTCCAAGTCTGGATGCCCAGGTTTCAGCAGTGGCCAGGAGTGCCTTTGTCACAATTAAAACTAGTGCATCAGCTAGTTTTAATTGAGAGGTCTCATCTGCCCATGGTGAAACATGGCCCTAGTTAAATGTCAGAAAGATTACAGTAATTACTTGGGGATGCTTGGAAACTCCAGCGGGTCCAAAATTACTCAGTCAGATTGCTAACTGGGGTTGGTTACAGGGAACATACAACTTTCCTGTTACGACAGCTCCATTGGCTGCCAATCCATTTCAGGGTGCCTCTCAAACTGCTGGACCTAACCTCTAAATCCCTAAATGGCTTGGGTCCAAGGCATCTCAAAGACCACATCTCCCTTAACCAGTCTGTCTAGGCATTAAGAACGCCAGGGGAGGCCTTTCTCTCTCAGTCTCATTACCCTTCCAGACACACTTGGTGGGGACACAGGAGAGGGCCTTCTCTGTTGCTGCTCCCAGACTCTGGAACTCCCTCCCACATCTTTGCTGTCCTGCGTAAATAAATGAAGGTCTTTCACTTCAGGAAACCTTTTCCTTCGTGATTAGCAGTCTGACTTAAGAACGTTTCAACTTAAGAACAACATTCCAATACGGATCAAGTTCTTAAGTAGAGGTTCCACTGTAACTTTCCTGTTACGACAGCTCCATTGGCTGCCAATCCATTTTTGGGTGCCTCTCAAAGTGCTGGACCTAACCTCTAAAGCCCTAAATGGCTTGGGTCCCAGGTATCTCAAAGACCACATCTCCCTTAACAAGTCTGTCTAGGCATTAAGAACGCCAGGGGAGGCCTTTCTCCCAGTCTCATTACCCTTCCAGACATACTTGGTGGGGACACAGGAGAGGGCCTTCTCTGTTGCTGCTCCCAGACTCTGGAACTCCCTCCCACATCTTTGCTGTCCTGCGTAAATAAATGAAGGTCTTTCACTTCAGGAAACCTTTTCCTTCGTGATTAGCAGTCTGAGATTAGTTTAAGTGGATAGCTGTGCTCTGATGTTTTCCAGAGGCAGACCTTCAAACAATTAAGCAGGATTACACATCGTTAGTGCTTGGATGAAGGACCACTAAAGAATCTCCCAGTGGGGCTAAGAAAATATTCCTGTTTAAAATCTAGGAGAGCCGCTTCTGTCAATCAGGGCTGACAATCCTGACCAAGGTCTGACTCACAGCCAAGCAGCTTCTTGTGCCCTTCTATCTTGTGGTCGATTACACTCCTCTATCGTGAGCAGCCAGACACCCTGCCTCAAAGAGTTCTTCAGTTAATTGTGTCAAGGTGGGAAACTCGCAGGCTCCCAGATAGCACGAGTCTGCAATAACCAGTATTCCTCACCACTGGCTATGACCAGTTACGGCCAGTAGGAAATGTAAGCTGGACTCACTACAGTGGTACCTCGACTTACGAGTGTTTCCACTTATGAACATTTCAAGAAACAATTAAGCAGGATTACACATCGTTAGTGCTTGGATGAAGGACCACTAAAGAATCTCCCAGTGGGGCTAAGAAAATATTCCTGTTTAAAATCTAGGAGAGCCGCTTCTGTCAATCAGGGCTGACAATCCTGACCAAGGTCTGACTCACAGCCAAGCAGCTTCTTGTGCCCTTCTATCTTGTGGTCGATTACACTCCTCTATCGTGAGCAGCCAGACACCCTGCCTCAAAGAGTTCTTCAGTTAATTGTGTCAAGGTGGGAAACTCGCAGGCTCCCAGATAGCACGAGTCTGCAATAACCAGTATTCCTCACCACTGGCTGTGACCAGTTACGGCCAGCAGGAAATGTAGGCTGGACTCACTACAGTGGTGCCTCGACTTACGAGCGTTTGGTACCTCGACTTACGAGTGTTTCCACTTATGAACATTTCAAGATACAAACGGCTCTGTTTGCAAAATGTTGCTTCGACTTGCGAACGGAGCTTCGACTTACGAACACAAAAAGGCAGGGGGGGAAAGGGTGGGAAATATGAATTTACTGAACTGTTGGTGGCGAAGAGGCTGGTTCTTTGTAGCTCTTTCGTCCCAACAGTTAGGAAAGGGATGCTGCAGGGGTAGCCCAGAGCCGGGAGGCCTGAGCTGGCCGGGCACTTGGCTGCTTGCCCCTGGCCGCAGCGGAGGCAGCAGAGCGTCGGGAGGCCTGAGCTGGCCAGGTTTCTTCGGCTGCTTGACTCCCGGTTCGCTCCTCGCCGCCCTCCGCCATTTGAATTTCCCACCATCCTTCCAACCTCCCTCAATCTGCTCTACTTCACAAGGTTGTTGTGAAAATAAAACAGGAAGACAAAGTGCTGCCTTGTGCTGATTAGAAGAAAAGAAACAAACAGAACTACAGTAATAGAATAAATTTAACTAACTTCATCTGAAGAACACCAATACCAAGCATGTGAATCACGGAAGTGCTGTGTTTTTATATATTCCCCTTGAAAGAAGAAACTCTGCCCCAAACTGGATTATTTCCGTGCTAGCAACTCCCAGGAGAAGGAGCACTCCATTTATAACGACTGTCTTCATCCCTGCCTTCTTTTACCCTCTGCAACAAGATTTCACAAAGCCAGAAGATTTCACTTCTCCTTTTTTGGGTGGGTGTTTGTTTTTTGGCGAGGCAGGGGCACCCTGTGATGGGCCCAGCTGCCTCAAAACTGTCCCCTGGCTCCCCAAACGTTTGCCATCCTTGACCTACTCAGACCAACCCATTTGTAAAACCAGAGAAGCCGCCACCACCCCAAAGTTAAGAAATATTCCCTCACGAGTTGTTTGCTTTGATAGCTCCAGACGACAACAAGCTCAAGCATTATTCATCCAGGCTTTTTAAATGAACAGAGTTGATTTAACTCCCTGACTGCATTATCTTAGGGGGCAGCTGTTCAGAAATTTTTTTTGGGGGGGGGGAGACAAGGAGTCAAGATGTAACCACCCTTGAAACCAGGGAATAAAATGCAATAGCTACAGACAGGTGTCGCGTCAAGAAGAACAGGTGTCACTTTTCCAGCATTACCTCGGCTTATCCGCTGCTTTTCTCCTGACAGGATTCCAGGGGTGTCAATGATGCTGATGCTGTCCAGAACTGGGTTGGGCAGCTGGGCACACATGAATCTGAAAGGAGAAGGGAGAGAGGAAAGGTTTGGGGTCAGGGCATGCCTGGAGAAGGGTTGTCCTTCCACCTATTCCCATATTATTTGGCCAACAATGTCTCATCGGGTTGATCCAGACACAGGGCGGTCGTTTGCAGGATTTCCTAGGTAGGGAGTCCTGAGAAGTGGTTGACCAGTTCCTTCTCCAAGGGACACCCAGGGACCACATTGCTCGCCCAAGGCTAGACAGGCTGCGTCTTCTCCTGGGAGGCAAAGGGGGGAACTGCACGCCCAGTCTCTGTAGCCAGATATTCCAACAAACTAAGCTATCCTTTATACACACCTTTTCCATTTAACCTTAAGTGGTGCCTCGCATTGAGACGTTAATTCGTTCCAGCGAAATCGCTGCTAAACAAAAACGTCGCTATGCGAAAATAAAAAAGCCCATAGAAACACATTAAAACGCGATTAATACGTTTAATGCGTTCCTAGGAGCTTCAAACTCACCATTCAGCGAAGATCCTCCATAGCGTGGCCATTTTCGCTGCCTGTTAAGCAAGGAATCCGTCCCAGAAAACAGCGGGCACCCATTTCGAAACCGCCGATCAGCTGTTAAAAAAGCATTGCTTTGCAATGATCGGTTCCCCAAGCAGGGAACCAACCAATCATGGCAAAGCAAAATTCCACCACCAGCCAGCCAGCCCTGGACGACGGCCAGCCTCCTTGGCGGGGCTGTCCAGGAGCGCAGATGGGCGGGTCGGAAGGGTGGGACGCGTCCGGGCCACTGCCTGGGCAGCCGCCGGGCAAACCCAGCGAGCCTTTCCAGGGCCAGCCCCCCAGACAGGGCATCGGCTGCCCAAGGTGCTCAGCTCCGGCCTCTGCCTCCGACCCCCTCCTGCCCACAGCGCCCGGCTGGTTGATGTGGACGCGGCCGCACTCCCCAGGCACCAACTCCCCGGGTTGGTTACGAGGGGGGGGAGGGAGCGCCGCTTTCTCCAGCGAGCGAGGGCTCAGAGGCAGCCGCCCGGGGCGGGAAGGGGCACGCCACCCACCCACCGACCGCCAGCCACGATGCCCAGCCTTGGACGCCTTAGACAGCGAGCAGCAGGTGGAGGGCTTGGTGGCAGGCAGCCGCCCGGTCTGGCACCTTCTGTAATGGCGAGGAGGGGGTCTCTGGCACGCCGCCACCCTATCCAGCCACTGCTGCCCTGATCCCAGTTGGGCGCCTCCTCCTTTGCAGTGCCTCCCGCTGCGACAGCTCTCTGGCTCGGCGCCCCAGGAGTGCACGCGGGGATCGGGGCCAGGCCCTTCACCCGTGCCTCCGCCCCCCTCCTGCCCACAGCGCCCGGCTGGTTGATGTGGACACGGCCGCACTCCCCGGGCACCAACTCCCCCTATTTATGCACGAGCTCTGGGGGGGTAGCATGCAGCACTGATCAGCTGTTTAAAAAGCATTGCTTTGCCATGATTGGTTCCCCAAGCAGGGAACCGATCATCGCAAAGCGAAATTCCCCGATAGGGAACATCGCAAAGCAATAGCAAAATCTTCATCGCAAAGCGATTTCATCGCTATACGAAGCAATCGCTATGCAAGGCACCACTGTACTGAGCCTGGCCATTGATCTGCTTTCACATGTTGCCCCCAAAGAGTTCAATGTGTACATGCAGCTCTCCTCCTTCACATACTCAACTTTGTCTCCCTGACAAACCTGTGAGGTAGGTTCAGGATGAGATGATACAATTAGTCCCACATCACCCAATGAGTTAGATTATCCCATTAGGCATGGGATTTTTGGATTTGTTTGAACAGCAAATCCCATAATTCCCCCACAGGTCTACCTCAACCTTGCTTCCTATTCAGGAAGGAAGCTCCCAGCTAACAGAGGAAAAGCCTTGAAGCCTACTTCCCAAGTAGGTGTGAGTAGATAATGGAGTTATGGGATTTGTAGTCCAAAACTAATATTTTAAAAAAATCCCACCCATAATATCCTTTACCAGCATGGAGTCCTCACAAGCATGAGATGGTCTGTCTCCTGCCTAATCTTGCTGGATTTACATTTTAAATCAGATTTTCTATCAGCCCTAAACAGACTAATGAAAACAGGGATCCTGGCATGAGGCACATGCCTTTCCACTAATCTGTAGCTTGACATCTTATGTATTTCTGCAAGTCTAGTGCAACTGTCTCCTCTCAACTGGTAGGTTGATGCTAGCAAGATTCACATGTTCTACTTTTCTGAATGCTTCCTTTCCAGTTTGATGGAGAGGAAGTCACAGCAAAATCCCCTAGGGAGCAAAAAAAAAAAAAGCACCCGTATTAGGCAGGGCAGGAGTCAGAACAGCACTTCAGAAGAACAGTTTGGCCGTCTGGGCCAAATTCAACACATGCGAGAGTTTAAAAGAGACAGCACCATCTCTCCTAGTCAGAAAGCTAAGCGAAGCAAGAATAGGAGACAACGCCCCATATGATAGCTGTCGAGTTTAACCTATCACAGAATCACAGGACCTGTAAAGCTGGGAGGTCTCCAAGAGATCATCTAGTCCAACCCTCAGGGAAAGAGAGAAAATCCACAGCTCAAGCATTCCACAACAGATTCATCCAATGTCTGATAGTAATAAAAAGAAACCTTGCAGGAAAGTCAACCACCCTGCAAGGCAGTCTATTTCACCGTCAAATAACTCTTAGTACAGTATTAGGAAGTTCTTTCTAATGTTGAGTCTAAATCTCCCTTCTTTTTGTGTGAATCCCTTGTTTCAAGGAACCTCTTGAATCTCAGTAGGGACAAGAAATGAGGCTCATAAAATCACTCATAAAATCCAGGACACACACACAAACACTCATTTGGTATTGATGCAACATCTGAAAGGCGAGCTTAAAAAAAGATGTCCTGGACCAACCTACGGGACAAGAAATGAGGCTCATAAAATCACTCATAAAATCCAGGACACACACACACACTCATTTGGTATTGATGCAACCTTGTGCAACACCTGAAAGGCGAGCTTAAAAAAGGATGTCCTGGACCAACCTAACTTTGGCTGTATCAGCTCCTGATACAGACTGACAGCTTTTCCTCCCAAACTCTCCTCCTCAAAAAAAAGCAGCATGGAAGTCAGTTTCTATTATGGACACCATCACCACCACACTCCTACAATGTTCTCCTAAAGATCATTGTCAAAGTGGTATCCTGAACATCCCGCCCCCCCCCAAAAAAAACCCCATCTGGCCACCAGGATCCCAGTGGGATTACAATCCTTGCAGGAATGAGTAGAAAGCGCTACTAGACCAAAGGGCAACTAAAAGTTTAGGCAGAACTGGCTGAGTTAAGCATTAATTCCCACTCAAGACAAGCCATAAAGCAAGCCACAACAAAAGAATCTGCAAGACTGCAACATGGGGCTTGTACAGGGGTTAGCAACGAGGAGAGGCAAAGGGGCTTGAAGCACTGCTATCTCTTTACAACCTGAGTAAGTGAAAGGCCGTACTCTCTTCTACAAAGCATCCTGGACTCTGAGGTCTTCAGAATCCTTCTTCTCCGCCCTGCCACCTTCAAGGAAACCCAAAAGCATTTTCA